GTGTAATAGTGGGTCCTTGAATGTTGAAGATGTTCTTACCAGCTTTGACAATACAGGAAATATTTGTAAGTTATATACCACCTCTATAGATGTATATTTAATATTTTATAAAACTAATTTAACTTTTTTAATATTTTCACAATGTTTATTATATTTACTAATCTATCTGTATTAGACTTGTATTGTCTTTAGCTGAAAATTAAGCCTTGTATAAAATGCATACTAAATGAACTGTGGCACTTTTTACCTTGTGCATATGTGTGTGGGGGGGAGGCATGTACACACACACACGCGCACACACACACACAGTAGGTCAGAAGGACCATGAAGTCTCCAATATTACCCTTTTTGTTTCTTGTTCACAGTGTGACAATGAAAGTCACAAAGTTAATCCAACTAAGGATCTATTTCTTTTATTACTGTGTTTTTGGTGCTTTCTCTCTCTCTCTCTCTTTTTTTTTTTGGTGGAACCGGGAATTGAACTCAGGCCCTTGCGCTTGCCAGGGAAGCGCTTATTCCACTGAGCCATCTCTGGGCCCCTTTTTGGTGCTTTCTAGTCAACTCTCTTCTGCTTTGCACTTTGACTACAGGGTAAACCCAGAGCATACTTTCCATGATGCTAATGTACTTGTACTGTGTCTTTTTTTCATGAGCCATTACAGTGCTATATAATATATTGAACTTTCATCTAAGCCTCTGATTAAATGGTGACGTATTTCTTCACTGAGAAAAGTACTTAAATAATTCTTTCTTTCTTTTTTTTTTTTTTTTGAGACAGGGTCTCACCAAGTACTTTGGGCTGGCCTTGTGCTCACTTTTGTAGCCCCCAGGCTGGTCTTGAACTCGCAGCAATCCTCCTATCTCAACCTCCCAAGTGCTGGGATTGCAGGCATGTGCCCTCATGCCTAGATTTAAATAATTCTACAATAATGTCATGCTATGAAAAAAATCAACCAAAAGTATCTTTATGTCACTGAGTTAAAAAAATAATGAAGTTCTGTACTCTTTGTTACTCGTTGGGTAAGATATTTATCCTAAGATAGTGAATTATTAGTGAAATGTGACTATTTAAAATGCAAAAGTAAAAAAAAAAATGCAAAAGTAGTACTTGTACTGTTTCTCCAGTAAATCTTCAGAATTATAATTATTATCTAAACATACTTTAGTAATAGTGCTGCTCCATCATATATAGAGATCTTTCATTGATAAGGTCCAGTAATACTCAGTAAGTTTTCTGTTCTGTCCCCATCGTGGAAAGCATTTCTTCCCTGTGCTGCTGGCCCCGCCCGGTCCTCCTTTCAGTGGAGCTGCAAATTGAGCCTGGGGCCCAGTGCTTATCACTGACTCACATTTTTTGTATAGAAAGATTGTATTTTGTCCCTAAAGAATCTGTAAGTACCTTAAAGTTATTCTAAAGTATTTAAGATAAGGTCAGCTTCTCTTTGCAGACTTAACTGAATTCTCTCCCATTTAGGCAGATGTCCTATTTTCATGGGGGCCTAGGCAGGGAGTACTTGTGCTGGTTGGGGGGACAGCCCCAGGCGGGGGTAAGGTTAAATGTGATGATGTCACCCACAGGCCTGTATCGTTTTGGAGCATGATGTTGGAAGAAAAGTGTGGAGTTTTTGACTCAGTAATGTAAAAAAGAAAATATAATCAAGTATTGTTCCTTACAACTCAGTATGAAATAGGGCCACTAGCTGGCAGCATTATATAAAATAAAAGCAAGTTCCTGAAGGTCCAAGTTGTTACTGTGCTGATGAACAATCATCTCCTCCTTCTGTGACTTTCTCCATGTCATCGTGTGCCCACACAAGCACAAGTTGTTGCAGTACAGAAAGGGGACATTGCGTGGAATTGGCGAAGGACAGTTTTGAAACTCTGGAATGTGACCCCCTTACATTTGAATCCTGGCTTAAGCGTCATCCTGAGCAATTTGTGCTATCTCTGTGAGCGCCAATGCTTTTCATTTCTAAAGACTGTATGTAACATGTAGAGCGTGTACAGCACCTGCGTTCCTCCTAGTTGACCCTCAGTGTATGGAAGCTGCTTACTAATTGTTACTCATTGTGAATCCCTCTTAAATTTATTTTTTTTCTAGTAAAATATAGTAATATGTACAGCTTTGTTTTTATCAATTACAAATAAATTTCAATTAAAATATTATTTTGATATTTTAAAATAAATATTTTGCTGTGCCGGCCCCACCCCCAGGGTGCACTGAGGTGGCAATTGAGACTGGATGTGGGAGCGCGTGCCTGTAATCCCAGCTCTTGGGAGGCTGTAAACAAGCACATCACTATGAGTCCGATCTAGTAATGAGACCCTGAATACCCTGTAGATCCTTCCCTTAAAAAAAGAGAATATTTTGATTGAACTAACAAACCAGGAAAATTAGATAAAATTACTAAAATAGTTTATTGCGATGCATTGTTTTACAAATCTAAATCTAAATATTTTGTCAAATATTAGAAATGGTAACAAAAATCAGACCCATTAAAACATGTTTGGTGTAACCTTCATATTACCTCTTCCGCCCACCCCCTTTGGTATTGGGGATGGAACCCAGAACCTTGACACTGAGCTCCAGGGCCTTGCTAAATTGCACAGGCCATGCTTGACCTTGTGCTCCTCCTGCCTCAGCCTCTCGGAGTGCTGAGATTAGAGCCATGCACATCGCACTGGCTTATATTTTGTTTTTTTAGTTATTTAAAATTTATTTATTTGGTACAGAGTCTCGCTATGAAGCTCAGACTCATAGTGATCCTCCTGTCTCAGCCTCCCCAGCACCGGGATGACAGGCATGTGCCACTACACTTGGTTTCGGTGGCTGGCTCCGTGTTGGACTGGCACAGCATGCCGTACCAGGGATCAAACCTGGTCCCTGAACTTGCCAGGCAGGTGCATAGAATGCCGAGCTATCTTCTCCTTCCCTTTCATTTATTTATTTATTTATTTATTTATTTATTTATTTGGTGGAACTGGGGATTGAACTCTGGCCCTTGTACTTGCCAGGCAAGTGCTTATTCTACTGAGCCATCTCCCCAACCCCCCCTTTCTTTTTATTTTTTTAAAAAATCTATTGATGCTTCACTTAATAATAAGTTGGGGGCTGGTGAGATGGCTCAGTGGTCTAAAGCACCTACTTAGAACAAGCTTAGCAAAACACAGGAACCGCGGTTCAATCCCCAGCACCACATGCTAGCCAGCCCCGCCCCTGGTGGGCTGAGCTGGCCACACACACACACACACACACACACACACACAAATAAATAATTAAAAAAATAATAAGTTGGTTAAGTCCTATTCCAATAAATTAAACTTGGTTATGACTTTTATATAATCTTAGATATTAAATAATCATGGATTGAAAAATGATTTTTCACTTGATGCCTCAAAAGTTTGATTTTTTTTTTTTTTTTTTTTTTACAAATTGTGGTTATTGGGTTCAGTTTGTGACTAGAAAACCCAGCAGAGGGCGCCACACTCATAATTCTGTCTCGGTAGAGTTAATTGCAATAAATAACTTGAATAGTGGTGGTAAGCTTTCACCGTATAAAAATGTAAACATGTATTTACAGGTTGCCATTTGACTTGTTTCTAATGTACTTAATATAGTAATCAATTTAGTGATATAGATTTCTCATGCTTGATATTTTAGTACAATTTGGTTTTTATTTTGCTTTAACTGTCAGTTTAATTTTTGTATTTCTAGCTTTAAGAAAAAGAATATTTTTGGTCTTTTAATCTTGATAGTGAAAGTTATATACAAGAATATTGTTCTTAAATCATCATGAGAGTAAACTGAAAGATATTTAAAATGAGGGAAAATGTTTCTAATCTTGATTCTACGATAATAGTATTTTTTTGGTCATAGAAAAACATTAAAATATTTTAGAGCCACACAAACCTGATACGTGTTTATTATAAACCACCTACTTGTGGTTTAGCAGAACTATTGATATCACATTTGAAAATCAGGTAGTGACTGTACTCATCGTAAATGTTCAAAGATAAAAGTATCAGCCTCGCCTCTAGAATTTGCCATGCTCTGACCAAAATGCCGTGGAAAAACCTCCTTAATTTTGGGAAGTAAATAGAACATCTAGTTTCAAAAGATTTCTTAATATACTGGAAAATAAAATATTCTTTATATTTATTTTTATTGTTTAGAAGTGTTGTTTTTAAATATCTTACCTTCACAATTAATTGCATTTTTGAGCTATCCTTTTTTTTGATTGAATTTTTGAATGGTGTAAGATGAGATTAAAATTAATTTTATGCAGAATGACTTATTTCAGCATAATGACTTACTGCTGTATAGTATATGATCCAACCTTATTTTTATATATTTATAATTGCTATTGTCAGAAGCAGTTTTCAAAAGTCAGTTTCCCTTTTTGCTTATCTTTAGGGAAAAAGTACACTTACTTCATTTTTGTTTGTTTGTGTGGTTTTTTTCCCCAGTACTTAAAAGCCTGCTTTTTTCTGAGATATCAAAGCTGCTTTGCAGAGAGCACAAGCCTGCTATTGATTTGTCCTGCCTCGCAGGGTGAGTCCAGCTACCTCAGGACGCGCAGGATGACATCCTTCACCTCCAGCGAGGTGCTGGCTGCGGCCGCGTTTCCTTTGACACGCTGCTCAGACACCTTGGGCGACGCAGCAGTGTGCTGGCTGTCAGCACTCTGGAAGGCTTCTCGCTTGCTTCCTCTGTGTGTGTTTCCAGCCAGTACTCTGACCTCTAATCGGAAGAGCCCCACCATGCTAGGTCTCTCCTCTCTCCAGAGTTGCCTCTTTCCTCAACTGAAATTAGTTTTTAGAAACTTGATTCCTCTCAGGGATTACCTAATTCAAATCAGTATAATTATTTGGTATTTATACAGCATCATCTGTGCTTGGAAGTACAGTAACTTCATTTGTGCATTTAAAAAAGTATGTATTCCCTTATTTGATAGCATGAATAGATGAGCCAATACTTCCCATGTAATGTATTGTGTATATAAGCTCCTGAGGGATAGGAGGTCAATAGCTGTTTGTATTATTGCTATAACTTTCTGTGACTTAG